TGTATAAGTGTATAATAATGTATAATAATGTATAATAATGTATAATAATGTATAATAATGTATAATAATGTATAATAATGTATAATAATGTATAATAATGTATAATAATGTATAATAATGTATAATAATGTATAATAATGTATAATAATGTATAATAATGTATAATAATGTATAATAATGTATAATAATGTATAATAATGTATAATAATGTATAATAATGTATAATAATGTATAATAATGTATAATAATGTATAATAATCTATAATAATCTATAATAATCTATAATAATCTATAATAATCTATAATAATCTATAATAATGTATAACAATGTCTAAGAATGTATAAGAATGTATAAGAATGTATAAGAATTTATAATAATATATAATAATGTATAACAATGTATAACAATGTATAACAATGTTTAATAATATATAACAATGAATAATAATGTATAACAATATATAATAATGTATAATATACAAAACTAAACTTTACTTTACCAAAATAATAAATGAAAGTAGCTATTATAAATCTAATAATATTCCTTCAAATTCTACATGATGCATCAGATAAAACCCATGTATTTCTCAAAAAGTAGTACCTACTGAAATTAGATGTTGTAACAGTGATAAGATCTTGTACGATTTAGATCGACATTTTCACTTTAGTAATTTCACGTTTGAAACTTGTCGATAATTTTAGTCAAGTACTCTACACAGTAATCGCTTCAATAATACCATTAAAAGAGGCAAGCAATGAAACTGTCAAACCTTCCTTTGTACACGAGAAAAAGAACGCAGCAGTCACTCACCATTTTCTGTTTCAATGTACACTAAAATGATAACAAAATAAGTACTACGTAAAGAGTATTAAAACAACCCGCCACACATGGGCGCTCATCGACGACCTGCTCTTATACCACAAACTTGATGCACTGATTCTAGACTACGACGAACGATCGGAAAACCTTGGCGATAAAGCGATTGTAATCCCAACGTTTAGATTAAATTGCAGTTCACTCGATCTGATAGCGGCTGATCTGACAAAAACGTACAGATTACTCTTACCCGATGTACTTTCAATAAAAACAAGGATTTAACGGACTTTATTAAGAACACTTCTACACTAAACAATTCTTATCAAAATACTTATATTATATCAAGAAGGATAAGGATATGGAAGAAAAAGATAGAAAAAAAATTGTCTTTATGCCTCATTGACCAATATCTTGATGACTAATTTATTGCATTCAAAGTCATAATTAAATTTCAAAGAAGTTATAATTATTCTTTGATGTTTAGAGCGGTGATGTTTAATAAATAAATGTCGTGTATATTAAAATACTTTCAACGGCAGTTTGCTACTTCTGCATATTAATACTTACACAGGTACAAACGATTTAAAAAAGGAAAGATTTTGTACAATGTAAATTAAACTACATCTACAAAAAAAAAATTAAAGCAAAAAATACTGAAATTTGCTACAAAGAGTGACTAAGAGAACTTATTTTTGAAATGCAGATACTGAAGCGATATATAAATTATAATTAACTAGAACAAATGTTTTTAACCGACTTATTATTAGACGAGTTTGTCCTCCCAACACAGCAGCACGTAAACGAACTGCTTGATTTTTGAGCATTCACGCTTTTCTCTTATTTTTCGCCTAGTCTCTTTGAACTCGCTCCAAGAGGCCAGCTCTCTGGTATTTTTGGGTCCCCAGTTTGCTGAGGGTCTGAAGGCTGACTTGATCATCTGTAAAGTTTTAATTTTCATTAATAAAGTAGTTTCATTAATCTACATACTTGTCTACTCTTATACTACTTCTACTATCAATTCATTCTACTATTACTTCAATCTTACTTCAGACACTTGTAAGTTCTTCTTTGAAATGATAGTGTACATCATCCAGAATGGAATTTGTAGGATACCAAATGCACAAATGGTCCATCCAGCCGCTGTAATTTTTCCCATAACAAATAATTGTTACACTAATTTAAAAAGTTATGTGAAACGTACCATGTGCACTGTCAGGATAGGAAATACCGCTGTAGGTCAGGGGTTGCAGTGTAGCTAACGTGTAAATTAAAATCACAGCTAATAGAAGAGGAGTAATAACGCTCCAACAGACTCTCCAATAAATGGACGGCCTTCTCTTCAACATGTACTCCACGTCGTCCAAAAAGTTCTCCAAACCGTACACCCAGAATATACCGGTTATCTCAAGGGTAGCTAAAATGAAGACGATGAAGGAGCCAGCATAGTAATCGACCAACTCCAACATGAACTGACCACCCTGCAAGTGAAGATGACAGTAGAGAATGAAACTTTATTTCAAAAATACTGAAGATACGTACAGGTGTACAATAAATGATGCCAACAAAAAAACCAAAGGTGACTGTACCAAGTACAACGTAAATGTACTTGAAACTTGGGAACTGGTCGCTGACGATGGTTATAATTGCGCCTGCCAGTGCGATGGCACTTCCAATGCCGAGGACGTAGAGCATCAGGAAGAATAGGACTGAAAATAACTGCAAAATACGATGGATGAATGATATATATTGCATATGAATGATAAGGTTTAAAAATTGCATACTCTACCTGTGGGAGGACAGTGAACTTTGCTATAGCGTCAGGATAAGAGACAAATGCAAGACCGGTTCCTCCTCGAACCACCTTGCGGATGTCTTCGATACCCAGTTCGTGAGCCAAGTTCCCCAGGATCCCAAAAATAGTGAATCCTGCCATTAAGCTTGTGAATGTATCCAAAGTAGTTACCACAATAACATCTCTGAAGAAGGAACAAAATGCATAGTTAGAAGAAGGCTTTCTCTGTAAAGTGATTCAACATTCAAACAGATAACAAATGAACTTAACAAATGAAATTAATATGAAAATCAGAAATTCAGCAGGTAATTGCACCAGTGCATTTAACCATCAACTTCTTTTTCTTTAACAAACTAAATAAAATGAACCCTCAATGTATAACAATGTATAGAGTCTAGGGTTTAGACAGTCAAGTTATAAAAATCAATGCTTTTTTGTGATTAATTTACACACATTCTCTTGTGACATTTAAAGAAGTGATGCAAGCGGTAACTGTATTACAAAGTACTAAACAAATAATCATCTTGAAGTGCAGCATACAAGATCACTCTCTCAATTAGCCATTATTTTATGTTCAAAGAGTAACCTGTATATATTGTGTCTAAAGTCGTTGTAGGACGAGTACATGACGACACCACCGAAGCACACAGACAGCGAAAAGAAGCACTGTGTTACAGCAGCGTACCAAACGTTCGCATCGAACAGCTTCTCCCAGTTCGGCTTGATGAAGAAAATAATCCCGTTCACAGCACCGTCCAGCGTTACCGCTCTGATCAGCAAGCTGATCATGATGATGTAAGGGAAAATAGCGAGGAAATAGGCTGCCTTTCCAGAACTCTTCACTCCGCGTGCTAGGACGGCAAATATACAACTCCAAGCGAACAGGAGACAAATCGTCAGCTTCCAATCTGGAGCTCCTATGCCGTCGTCGATGTTCGGTTTTTCTTTTAGCACCACTTTTCTGATAACAAAAATTATTGTACTCAGACACTTTCATAATGTTTATAACGATAATTAAACTAAACTAATATAATTAGCTTAACATAACAAAACAATAACATAATGTTTGTTCGATAACCGATATGCAGTTACATAGATGAATATTTATCAAATGTGAAATCAAACATTAAGCAATTCTAGATAGATATCGCCTTGCATGATTCATAGATGATAATAGATTTGTAGAGCAACACTCCTTGAATTGATATACACTGAAAATACATGTATGCATATCTCTGAGATTGGTCTGACAGGACTATAATTCTCACAACGTGTAACGTCTATTTTAAGATGTCTTATTCTAGACATTTCATATGCAGTTGAATGTGAAATTCACCTAAAATAAAGTTCAGCCGAAGTTTTCATGCCTGTTCTATTTCTGTCAGTGACATTGTAAGACCCTCCAGAGTCGACGCAGGAGTCCCCCCATTCCTCGAGACAGGTGGACCACGGAAGCTGAGATCGAAAGCTCCCAATTAAATAATAAAGTGTTACAGACATCAGAGAACAATAGTAAGTTCCCACGGCAAGCATGGAGAACATTTGTGCCCAGCCGACACCTCGAAATCCTGGAGCTGTAAATATTGAAGTCGTAATTCAGATTCTATCAAGGTCAAATGTTTGTACACACCTGCTGACCACATTTTCACCGATGACCTGCTACAGAATTGTCCCATTATCATCTCTAGATAGTAGAAAGGTTTTCCGACCAGAAAAAGAACAATTATGTAAGGAATCAGGAACACTCCACCGCCATTTTCATAGGCAGTGAATGGAAATCTCCAAACATTGCCGAGGCCAATAGACATGGCGATGCAAGACATCAGAAATTCCAATTCGTTGCCCCAGGTTGCTCTCCCAGGTTCGTCCTCTACCATGGACTGAATATTTAAGTTATTTAAGTTATGCTAGCTATTTATTATTATGAAAATGAACATCTGCAATTTCTATTAGCATACCATTTCTTCTGGAAGAGATAAGGAGAGTGGTAGTTTACGATCATCTTGAACTTCATAGTTGAAGTTGAAGGAGTTGACTTGAAACTGAAATCATCGATAATAATTTTAATTGACGCACTAACTATGTTATTTATAATTAAAAAATTGTTGATACGAGGTGTGTTCATGTACCTTTTTATCATTGTCTGTGTTTGATCCCTGGAAGGTCGTCGTTCTGTGATCCTCATCTCCCACAAATGCAGCATTCTGTCTTCCTTGCTGTAACAGAAAATTTAATAAACTCCAAAGAAGTGAAGCAGTTCAATATTAATTAACTATGCAATAATAACTATAAACTATAAGCTATGTAATAATTATTCCATTTTTTTGGAAAATCATTGCTGCGTTGATGGCTACTTTGTTATGTATCCCGAAAGAACCATGACACAACTAATATAATTCTTGTTTAACATCCAAGGACACTTTCCAAAGTCTATAACCGCTACACGCGATACGAGGTAAATTATGTACATCTGTGCTCGGAGTGAATTGTCCGGTGATTTCGATGCTCGTACACGAGCGTATTTGCACATCATCATTGCACAAGAACATTGACTACTTTGCTGCACGAGACAATCATAAGGTGAAGAATAATGGCGTAAAAATATTAAAATTATGGATACAGAGGGATCATGTACAAAAAGATAACAGTACGCTGCAACGCTATATCTTCTACATAAATTGTGCATAATGATCTCTAGGATGACTGTGCAAACGATAAACGCAACTGAATCACGTGTCGTTGTTTCAGAACCGCATTCTTCGAATGTTGTTCCAAACATTTCAGCGGAGTCTTGAAACAGTATTTCAAAACGCTCATTGACACTGCAAACATCCACTTCTACTGAAGTACTTGACGCATACTACTTATTGGAAAAATCGCGATTAATCGAAAGCACGTAATTCCAGATATCAATTTCTGTGTTACGTATGAGGTATGTCACAAGAAATTAATTACAAGTAAACTGAATACGTACACTAACTGAATACATAGTATGTGTATTCTATACATAGGAAAGAAATATATAGCAGAACTGTAGCAAAACAAATATTACAGAAAAAGTTATGGAAAAGAATTGTATACAATGTGTAAATTTGAGAATCTTAAATTTATGATGTAGGACCTTCCAGGAAGTAAACTTCAGTCTTCGAAAAATGCCGGTTGCAACAAAAACCAGTTTCTATTTATCGAGTGACCCTTGTAGAAGATGTAATTACTTTCGCTTCTCTTGTTTCATTTCTTTTTTTCGCCAGATATGGACAGTAAGTTCTACCGTAGAATAATTATGTGCTGTTGCGTAAAAGAAGCCGGTTCAACAACTTTGCAATGATTTTGTAATGTCAAACGTGATACGTGTTATTAGAGTCACCAGACGAGTGGACACCTCCTAGGATCCCATTATGCTCTAGAAAAAAAGGGGATAATAGCGTTCGCTCGTAGAGTGTACAAAAATTTAGGTCGTAAAATTGAAAGGAAGGAAGAAAGCAACAAAGACTTTCACGATTCGTTTAGCTGATTTTTCGTGAACGTTACATCACGACGAAAGCGATTGTCTCTTTACTTTCATACTAGACCTCGTTATCTCTACGATGAATTATCACAGGAAAGCATTTTAACCTGTCGTAAAAAGATTATTTCCGCAGTCTTAACATTGAAATGTTTATATTACAAAAGATACATTTAAATTATACTTTCGTGGAAAGTTCAAGTGAATTAAGAATAAAAGCGGAGAAAAAAGTGTTATCATATTGTTTGGTAATTTTTGGGACTAGACAGCGAAAGCGATGATTGTCGTTGAGTCACGTACATACATTGCGTATGCACCTTGCATTCAATCCTAAATGCCAGCACTCTCACGCGACTTTGCGAAACGTATTCTCATGACTCTTCGTTCCTTTTGTTTTGGTTATGACAACACGTGTCGATTCTCACCACGTGGTTGTCTCAAATACTGTTTCAAAGAAAGCAACAATTCATTTCCAGAAAACTGTTGTGTTATGGTAACCAAAATTGGTGGAAGAAACAATTTAAGTTAACTCTAAGCTCTTCAAGTTTGAAATAGTGATTTCAAGATGAATACAAAAATGTACATGAAATATAAGATAGTACTCATTGTTTATAACAATAAAAATTCACACAATTAACTCATTGCATTAATGTTAATCTTTCAGCTTCACTCTTTAATTTCTTAATTGAACCTTGTGTTCATAATCAGTTTCCTTAGGTCTACTAATCAAATATCAAGGTAATTAATGTTCAACAATCTCCACTTCTTCTAATACTAAAGTTTTAAAATTTCCAAAAGTTATTTATATCATTTCCTGTGTGTGATCCTTGATGCGTTGACACTATTAGTAAAAAGTACCTAGTCTAACTGAATAAAAAGTTCTAATTAAATGAAGATAGATACCTAGGAAGCCGGCTTTTAACGCAAGGAGCATTAAAAATACCATACCTTATGCATGTTTCCAATTTACTTCAAGCAAGAGTGGATATCCGATCAGGAGGTTGAGTGTTGACAACGTGGAACGCGCGAAAAGTTTCGAATTTACAGCTTTGTGACATCTATAGCACCGGTCTCGACAGGTGTATCTATCACCTTCACGAGGACCAAACAACAACTGACCTGCGACCAGCTACGGTGCGGCTGTCATGAAAGTAATCGAAGTAGGGATCGCAAAAGCTTGAATCAAGAAGGGGGAAATGCGATTCCCGTTTTCTACCTGCTCTGTTGTCATTTCTGCCCCCATCATTTAGGTTGTGTTCTTGTCTTGTTCCCTTTCATCGTTCCTTTTTCTTCCTTCCTTTTCGGTATAATTATGGTCATAAAAAGATCAGACTGTCTTCTGGTTCCGACTTGTGTAGTCGTTGATCCTGTTTTGATCCTCGCTGGAGGTCGTGTTAGGTTTTAAAGAACATCTGTACAAGCAATATATAAAATAAGTAATGGTTTAAAAAATATCAAGGTTTATCTTGATTACCGTGTAAGAAAAATAAAATTTCGAAGTTTAATTTGTTGAGGTCAAAGTAACAAATTTCCAAGGCATCGGTAAGAGGATAAAGAAGAAAATTCTTTTACGTGCTCTGCAGAAGCTTAACGAACCTGCTAATTGTTCGACCTCCTTGCATCAAGGATGAATGTAAATCGCAGCGACGCCGAGAGCGAAGGAGGAAATCGAGATAAATGCGTCTTGAACTCAAGAACTTCTGGTCGCGGTTTCTTACATTTCCTTCCTTAATTTTTTCTTCGGTATTGATCACCATGACAAAGCGTCTGCTATTTTCGTCGTCGACCATGTCTGCACATTTCCTGGAATTATAAATTTACTATTGAAATTTATCATGTTTTTTGAATGTTTACATAACTATATAAATGTACAAACATTTGGAAATTTGAAGCTATCAAAATTTGTTAAAATTTGTTCAGATTTTAAAAGATTAAATTAACCACGTCTGCACATTTTTTACAATTTTAATTTACTATTAAAATTCGTCATGTTTTTTCAGTGTTTGCATAACTATGTAAATGTAGAAAATATTTTGAAGCTTTAAAAATTTGGTAACTTTTAAAAGATTAAATCAACATTGAAATTAGTTATGCAAATGTGAATTATTACTTGGAGGTATTCGACCCACGAGAATAAATTTACTATTACTAACACATCAAAGATTTCGACGCTCGCTTATTTAGTTACGGGAATTCCATTTACGCAATCTTCGTGGATCTTGAAACGGGAGATCCTAATTTTTTCTATGTTCAGCGAGCGTATTCGCGAATACGAGAATATTGCCTTAGCGAGTGACCTTCGACAGTAGTTAAGGGACAAGGGGGCCTGTACAAGTGAAAGTAAAAAGCAATCCAGTTAAATCTGACGTTAACTGGTTAATCATGATCGAAACTGACTTACGATAACAATGTTTTAGCATCAACACTAGAAAAAGAATAAAACATTTGATTCAATTTACATTTTATAAGCCATTCACATAATTTAATTAATTTGCTAAAATTCCTGTAAATCACCTGAGCATACATTCCTCGCCACAAAATTAACAAACACATAAATCATATTGAAAAATCTTATCTCCAAAATGTGGTTTGATTACATTCCTGTAACTCAACGTTAATATATCCGACGTACAAAAACACAGTGCCATAATTGAACAGCTACTATATCAATGTCTTATTTACATTCACGTACCGCGAAACATGCATCACCAGTGACCCACGAATGCCACTATTATAAGAATTATCCTTCTGAAAATACAAATGAATCGGTAATAATAGAATGAATAGGAACTAATTAATTATTATATGTATAACAGCTCATATATTATAGATAATCACTTTTCGAGGCAATAAAGTCAGCCGACGGGTCATTTTCTTATTCCTTGTTTTTATTCACGATGACGTTCGTCCGCTCCAGCATCCGCCTATAAAATTCCCGCTGAAACAAGACAGGACAAAGATACTCCTGATTGATGCCTTCACGCAGTAGGACTCGTAAATTCCATATGAGTTACGTAGTGCGAATTGAAGCGTTTTCTAACCGGATGACAGGTAGAGTGAACGGTCAAGGCTTCCCCGACGAACTGGTCGAGGCAGTTTTCTTGCTCTTGATCCCTAACAATAAAGTCACATTTTATTCGTCGATAAATTAGAAAACACGTGCCGCGTACCAAGGATCAAGTAACGAGTCTTCAAACCGGTAAAAATTATTCAACTTGTTTAAACAATGTTTCAAACAATTGTGCTTCGGTTACAATAAACGTAAATTGTCATTACAGTGAACGTAAGATATTTTTTATAACTTGTTACTGTAACGCATGGAATGTCAACGCATAGAAGTGCAACGCACAGATAAAAAATCACCTACTTGTCCCTTTACTGGTATTATGTAAAAGTGTCGAAAGATACTCTTCATTATGATTCTGATAACAATAGTAGGTTATCGATGATCCATTCTGTACAGGAAATATCATTGTCTAAATATTGACGGAATTTCGACGTTTTATATACGTTGCGTTTTATATACGCAACATTATATAAGTTGCGCAATAGCTACTTAGCAATTCATGATTCGTGTGAATTTCAATTGTACTACTTAATTCTTGAAACTTTATTACCTTGGCAAAATCCAGAGTTATAATGTATGTACTCATAACACTCGTTTCATATTATCACACCTAAATCAATTAATTATCAATTAAAAAAACATCACTGAATATTTTATGTGCTCAGATTTTAAATTGTTCTAGATCAGTAAAGTACGTTACGTCGGTAATTGTTCCGACCTTTGAATTCGAAAGAATATAATGGATAAAAAAACACTTCACTAACTTTGATTGTCTATTTGCATTATACTTTCCAATTAATATCATTTTTATCCGTTGATTTCTTCTTTACTATCATAAATTATTTAACGATCTAACATTATTTGACTCTGTGCTCAAGTAATTCTGCACAGAATTAGATACGTACGAAACTTATACTGAAATATGACAACGAAATTCAAATTGAAATCCATTATATGGGAACGCATGCGCATTCGGTTTACAATTAGAGCGGCTTAAAAATGTGAGGTTATGTGTATTATAAGAAACACATTTTGTTTATAAGAGTAAGGTATATCAAAAACAACAAAATAAGGAGAAGTGTAAGAGAAATTTATTTAGTTATTGTACACAATTAATTTTCACATAATTCAAAAATGGATGACGAAGCTGAAACATACAAATTATGGAGGATAAGGAAAACAGTGATGCAGTTGTGTCATGATAGAGGTTATCTTGTTACACAGGATGAATTGGATCAAACTTTAGAACAGTTTAAAGAACAATTTGGTGATAAACCAAGCGAAAAAAGGCCAGCACGTAGTGATCTTATTGTGTTGGTTGCGCACAATGACGATCCGACAGATCAACTTTTTGTATTTTTCCCAGATGAACCTAAAATTGGTATCAAAACCATTAAAACTTATTGTCAACGTATGCAGGAAGAAAAAATTCATAGGTACTTTAGAAAATTAATCTTAATTAAGTAGTTTGTTTAATCAGAAAAATCTTTTTATTGAAAATCTATTGACATCAGACTGGTATTTTTTTTTATGATAGGGCTATTATTGTTGTACAACAAGGAATGACACCATCAGCTAAACAATCATTGGTTGACATGGCACCAAAATATATATTAGAACAATTTTTAGAATCTGAATTACTTATCAATATCACAGAACATGAATTGGTACCTGAACACATAGTACTTACACCAGATGAGAAAGAAGAATTGCTCGGAAGATATAAGTTAAAAGAAAATCAGTTAATGCGTATACAAGCGGGTGATCCAGTAGCCCGCTATTTTGGTTTAAAACGTGGACAAGTTGTAAAAATTATCAGACCTTCTGAAACTGCTGGAAGATATATTTCTTATAGGCTTGTATGTTAAATATACAAATTTCTATAATGGACTATTTGTAATTACAATTGTACTGTTTATTATTTCAAGTATAAATTAGGACCTATATACATAATTATTCTGTTCATCGCTTAAGAACAAAAGATACAAAATTAATAAATATTTTTTACCAGTTATTAAACAGGATTAAAATATTTTTTAATAGGCTTTTATTATACTATCAGAATTACGTTTAATAATTACATAAGTGATTCAACATTAACTATATATGAGGCAGTTAATGATTATTAGCATTATGTGTTTTGCAATACACTTTGATTTATAAAGATATTTTTAATTGGCTTGCAAAAACAGTAGTACAATTTTATACAGCTTACAATCAGTATACAAAATCAAAGTGAGCAAAACAAAACTTGTTCAAATATATATTTTATTACACTTCATTATTATACACTTCTTGGTCCAGATATATCATGGTGTGTTGTCATAAAGACAACTCAATTCCAAATTCACTTAAGCAATTGTACACATATAATTCCACGATATTTTTTGCAATAATTGTATGCATATATTGCTCCATTAATTTTACTATAACATTTAATATTAAGTATTTCAAAAACAAAAGAATGATAAACTCGCAAACACGCGCTAATAATAAATCATAAAACATATAACTAATATTAGAAATTAAAGCATTAAAAAAATATAAAACGACTAAATTTCTTTGCTACATACTTCTAAAAATCTAAGCTATTAATTTTTAGTAATTTGGGATAAAAAGTTTCACTATAACACATTTATATTTATAATAACATCAACCATAAAACTAGATAAAAATTATAATTTGTGTTCTAACAGCTTCAAATGTTAGTAAGATATAGTACATCTTTTGAGTTTATCAGCGTAATACTTACATTATCAGGAACTACTATACAGTAAATGATCTCAAAAATACTGGCACTAAAGGGAGAAACTGTTACATATTTTGCATTTTAATCTCAAATGTTCATAACCACAGTTTTGATATGATATTGAAATGAAAGATTTTATTTTTGGCAAAAGTCATTGCTTAATTATTGCAGTCTTTGTATTTCAGAAACTATCATTCATATTATTCGCTTTCTTTTGTTTTTTTTTTTCTATTTTAAATACGATGCATGCATAATTTACTTATCTATAATAGATTGACAAAGCCGCTAAAATATTTAATTTTCAATACAGACAACATTTAATTCTAACAAAATTGCTGTGGATATGGGCATAAGTAAATAAAGCATATAAATATAATTAATATAATATATTGTTATCAATAAATGTAACATAACGAATAATAATTAGTATAATAATAATAATAATAATAATAATAATTATAATAATAATAATAATTACACAATAAAACTACGTATTTTAAATGTTTACACGGAAATAAGAAAGTGAGATTTACTGAAATAATCAGATAAAAAGAAGTATTTAAAAATATACATGAATTTTCATTTCTTTTCCTCGAATAATTCGTTTTAAGGCAGAAACGTTATACATACCATTCGTTCAAAAGTCAAGTCTATTTCGCATGGCCGATTTCGTGCACCGTATTTATCGCTTTTTGGCATGTCAGAAAAATGCATTAAACGGAATAAATCAATATTATAAAAATTGCAAAATTTTTTAAGTGAATAAGTATGTACCACGTTCGTATAAAAAACTTGTATAATATTTAACTCTTTTTCCATCATGAAATCCTCTGGAAAAAACACAATGTTTCAAACAAACAAAAAATATATATTTCATAACATAGTAAATAGTAAAAAAAATAAAATTCTTCGACAATATTGGCGAAAATAAAAACGTGAAACACCTTATTTAAGATGTTATAGTTTTGTTGGTAATACTTAAAAAAGGATTTACCTCAAAAGATGTCAGAATTATTATTCAACGTACAGTCTGAAAAGTACAAGTCTATATATATAATACACAGCAAGTATATCTGACATATTGATATCAGATGTATCTTAACCAATGGAAGAATCCTTTCTTCCACAAATATTTGTAAAAATATTCACAACATAGAGGCAGAATGGTGTGCATTTTATGCCAAAAGGCGACGCGTTTAATACTACATCTATATAAAGTTCTTGTATCTTGCATATGGGTAGTTTACTAGGCTCTTTATCACCAAGGTCCCCGGTTCTTCGAACAACAAATTTGTATTGAAAAATACAATGTTTATGTCAGCCCGCTTATAAACCTGTCTTTCGAAACAATACGCATTATCGTTTCAATACAACCAATACTTCTCATTATTGATGTATACAGTTGATGTCATTTTTGAACATATACTCCATTAATGGACTACCAAGGTATAGGAAACACCAAGTTTCGTTTATCCCGTATAAATACTATAAATGTATTTTTAGGTTCATGTTCTACTCAAATATTCACGAAAATGAAATGAGATAGTTGAAGATGTGTCTACCATACACGTACAATGTCTATTAATAACTTTGAATAGTAGTAGCTATCAGTCCCAGTGAAAAATTTTTGTTGAAGTTTCAATGACAATCAAACAAACATGCTACCCTGTTGTTGTGCTATGTCAAGGAACTCTACGCTTGCTTATGTAAATTACTGAATATGGAAAAGTTCTTTTAACGAGACCAATAAACAGCCATCAATGATATATTGAGCCCAGTTAAACAACTCTACGTCTAGACCACCAATACATCCTGGTAGCCCATTCGATAGGTGGAGTTTGTAAAATATTGTTGATTAATTCTGCGGTAAGTCTGATCCTGTACGTGATAGTGGTGGGATAAAGCGGCCGATGCCTTTGGCCTCTGTGTGCACAACATGAGGCCTGAAATAAACCCTTATTTGATTAGAAGAAATTCAAAATAGAAAAAGTAATAATGTATAACAAATGAATATTACCAACCTAGGAGTGATATGGAGTAACATATGTAGATGGAAACAAACCCCGCCTATTACCAATTTCTCCATGCCACCAATGTTGATCTGTGCGATCAGTAACAGTGATTACATCACCACGTTTAAATTCGAGTTCACCAGGTTCCTGGGGTTGGAAATCATATAATGCTTGTACTAAACACTGAAACAAAATAGTATATAATTATTTTGAGTTGAAATTCCTTTAGTTAGAGTGATCATTACATAAGATATAATTACTTCTTCTGGAACCATATCCCTTAACTTAACATCTTGCGAGCGAGAGACAGATGCTGTACGATGATATTCTACTAATTCATTTAGGCTGTTAAATTTAACTACCCACAGGAAGAATTTACCTTGAGCATCTCTCAATACTTTAAAGTGCTGGACACCATCTGAACATCTGGAAAAATTATTGAATACTGATTAAATCAATTCATTTACATATGCAGGGATCCTCTATATATTCATTTACTAACTTAACAGACAAAGAGAAATCACCAGGAGAACTTTCACTAATTCTAATAAGAAAGGCGCCTTCGTGTTTATTCATTAGTAGTCTTTCGGCATCTGCTCTGGTTATCCTTCCATAATACCAACTGTATAAAAGACAACAATATTACATTCATGTATTGCATTCAATCAATTCAAGAAAAGAACTTGTTTAGACACTTACTCGTGATTTTTCATTTCTATATAGTTACTTGGAATGAGTCCTTCTCTAGAATCTAATTCAGCCCTATACCAATTCATGTCATCTTCCATATTTAAAATCTGTAAGAATAAGGCCATGTTTCATTCAACATGTTCATTATGGATACAATGTCTACATTAAACATGTTAATCATCATACATATTGATGGCTTAGTATTCAAATATTGTATAACCACTTTATTGTTCTGAACAAAAAAACTGGTTAAAAAATACAATGGTACTTTATAATATATTAAACAAAGTGCAATTTTTATATAACATAAAGAATTTAAATTTTACAAAAATTAGACAGACAATATTAGAGAGTAAGCCATCTACATGAAACATTAAAATACATTTTTTGAAAAGAACTCTATAAATAATGACAAATGCATTATAGATCACCTACAACAAAACTATAGAAAGAAGTAAAATATTTCATATCTAAAGAAAAAAACAGAATAGCGGTAATCATCAGTTTGTAGAACGCTGTGTACAGTCGTAAATATCCTTAAGAGACACGCGATATCCGCTTGTACGAAAGCAACTCAGAAACTTTGGGATTGGTAAGCTTCACAATGAAAATCATCGATACACAGCGGACTACTGGTTTTCTCGATAGTTTAAGAAGGACTATCGCATCGTGACTAGTGACGTACAAACCTTTAAGATCTGACTTCTACGGAAACTAAGCTCATCTTCGGCTGTCGCCGTAAAATCGTGCTTTGCTATCGCCTCCATTCTTCTTCCTCGTCCCTCGAGAGCAAGAACGAAAGAGAGGGAAAAAGAGAGGCAGTACTGTATCTAGTCTTCAAAGGCAGCAGTAAAACCAGCCACCTTTGTTTGCCAGTGAAAAAGAATTCAGGCAAATTTTAGCCCTTTCTTTGTTTCGTACGGCCAATAAAATTTTTCGTTATGATCTCTATCTTTTTCGATGTGAGACACGTAATGGTTACGATACAACGCGCGCACACACACCAACCACTTGTGCTTTTTTTTCCTGTTTGTGTGATCTTCTGAATTAGTCCTTCATCGAGTTTATTCGATAATACGTTCAAGCATACATGTTAGACGCGATTGTAACACTTTTCACGAATATCCGTCTCCCTTCCAGTCAGTTTTTCGTTGAACTGTCAAAACTGAAAATACGATCACGCACGCTCACGGCTGTCCATCGCTCGTCTTATCAGACATTACACTCTCGACTCTCCTACTGATCCTCTCACTGTGTTTCGGTCCAACAATGCGCACTAGTAACTGCGCAGTCTGATGTCTGAATTTCTTTCTCGACAATGTACATAAAAATATGTTCACCGTATCGAACACCTTTCGAATAGTTATAACATTCGGGTTAAACGACCTGTCCACGTTTGTCGCAGAGTTTCGTATGCCATGGAAAAAGAAACGCGATTCAATGAGACGAAAAGCTAACGCGTACTACTTTTCCGTGGCGCAGGCGCGCGCATGCGTGCTTCGAGATATGCTGCGTCGACTGCTTCGCCACCATTTTATACTTTACAAGATCACCAGAATGCATGCTCATGTTGTGATTTAGAGGTATTTCCATCCATGTAGCATTTCGATCATCACAAAATATATATCTCGTAGGTGTTTCATTATTCGTGAGTTAAGAATGACGTGTGTACTCTATGCTTTCTGTTTCACCGTTCATGCAAAAATAGGAATCCAATATTCAGGGAAAGAGGATACTTCGATAAATCGATTTGACATGTATTCAATTGATCGTTTAAACTTAGGAATATGCGTTCGATGTTCAGCATCGTTTGACGCTTCCAAGAAAGATGTAGCACAAATTACCACGAATGCTATCAAAAGAGATAATGAGGTACTATGTATTTTCCATTTTCCATCATTTCTTACTACGTATATGGGATAATTATGATTGAGTAATCGCAATCGAACATGCAATAAGTGCTGACTACAATCCATTTTCTTTGCGCAATTACTGCCCATGCAGTACTACGTTCTGCTGACATTCGAGGAATCATCGAGGATACAAATGTACATCAAATAATTAATATTAAAATAATAGTAAGGTTTTTATCGTGTATCCAAAATCATGTCTCAGCTGATAATGAGTAATCTACCATGTCGTATCTACAAGAGATCAATGTATTATCGCCTGTGTATAAACATGAGCGTTTATTTTGAAAACACGGAAGAAGTATACAGACACCCAATCAATGCAAATGTATTTTTTAGAGTAGAAATGATTGATACAAAGAAAAAAGAAAAGGTGATAATAGATGAATATTTTAATATTAATTAATATCTTTATAATATTATTGGAGAGTACTTTGATATCATAAAAAAATACAAAGGTACATGATGCAAATTCTTTTTTTTAATTCATTTTATTTTTAAATAGTGGTCATTAGAAATTATGATTTTACCATTGTTTCTGTTTAAAAAGAAATAATAGCTGATGGAAACTACTGGTCTATTTTATACATTCAACGACTGAGTTTGCAAACAAAATGCGGCCAAGTACAGTAGATGGCTTTTCATTTTCGGTTGAAACCGGGTAACCAGGTAAAAAGTTCTCATAAATCCTCATCGGTCTAAGAGCAGTTCGTCACGCAAACAACATCGACTCGTGACTGTACCAACCTCTTATGTAAGGCTCTTCATGCGAATACATTGTTTATTTGGGTTATTGCTTGGTCGGTGTTTAAGGAGCAATGTTTTCAGGAAAGCAACGATCAGATGCGCAGCGCCGATGCGCAGCTGCGCGTGTTAGCGCGGAAATTGAATTACCTTTGTGCGAGTGCTGCGATAAAAGCGAGGCCAAATTGTACCATCTTGCAAACGCTTCCAATTAAATGTAGCTATGAACTGCAGTCTAACGGAACAAAGGACCTCAATAGCGAAACTTCTCTTGGTTTTGTTCTAAATGTCATAGGTTATCGATGAAGTAGTTTTGTTGGAAATTTGCTGGTTATAAATCAGTACTTACACTACCCGAAGCAATAACATTGTTGAGATGTCGATAATTTAGGAAATGCATGGTATGAAACATTCTTGCAGGTAAATGTTTCTGAAGTAAAATTTATATGGGTAGAATTAGAGTATCAGAAACAATTTAAATAAATGATTAAATTTCCAAAAAATTAAATTTCTATATTCCAACATTTTTATTTATAATAAATGCTTAGATGTTGTATTAAATTATCAGAAGTATCTACATAGTATTTTACCTTTCAAATTCAAAGTTAATAGTTCAATTGAAAGCTGACAAGTTTCATTCAAGGCATTTACTTTTGCAGGCCAATGAAACGACGCAAAACAGATTTAAAGTGGCGTATTATTCTGAAGCTTTTTGCAATTTAAAACGAGCCCACGTTAGAAACGTCGAAAGGAAGAGGATCAGTATTCGGAAGTGAAAAAACCGCTATAGCATTTTGATATTTATTCAGTCGAATCTTGAACGAAACGAGTCGTAGCATTGTGCTCAGAATTTTTATGGAAAGGCAGTGGCGAATTCATGAATACGTGCTTCCTGTTCAAGATTTAGTGGTATCAAAGATGCACGCTTCCGCCTACGTTCAATAAAAGTCTTCAAAACATTCGCACGCTATTTAATCAAGCTAACCCTGCTGTTCATTCTTAATAGCAAACGCGATATTAAGCTGTTTGTCTCTTTGATGATACCGTTCCCTTCGGAAGCTTGTGAGATGAAACTTGAGAAGCACATTAGCACAGAGTTGTTAGGACAAAATGTAAAACTTTCTAAAGGTAAAATTGTGTGCGTCCCCGCGCGCTGGAAGTGAAACTTCCGTGTTTTTATGGATAGGAATTTGAAGTCTTTAAATTTTAGGATTTGAAAGTAAATGTGGTTTCTTCACGTACATTATTTCTTATCTAAACCTTGCACGCGATGGTATAATTTTTATACTAATTAGTAACTCAAAGTGAAGTTTCATCTTCACTCGGTATTATTTTTAAGAAAGATTACGGCAAGAAGAAAAGAATATTGTAGTTCTAAAACGATGCGTGAAAGAACAAACGCATGAAAGAAAGAAAAGAAAGTAAAGACGCACGAAGGGGAAGGTAAAAACAAATGAAAAGCAGTCGGAAGAGATGAACAGTAAGTCTACTTGGTGTCTGAGTGAGGACGACCCTCGGTGAAAATGCAATTTCGGTTCTTGTCTGGAGACGACGTCGCTACTGTGGCTTCGTACTCCCTTCAAGATTGTTGAGGACACAGCCTCTCGTGCACACAGAAGTTCTCTCCGACGTGTTCCAGGAGATGAAAGGCTCCCGTGGCTATCAAAGGGAAAGGGAAGTAGAGGTAAAGACCCCACCCTACAATGGCCCTGAGCTCCAAGGTTTTCAGCCTGGACGTTCAGGCCTCCAGAGATTCACAGGACGGGCAGACGTCGATATTTTTCTTTCGATTTTTACGTTCCTTAATTTCAAAATTTTTTAATTTTTTAAAAAAGCTATTACATAAAAAATTAGGTACCGTTCAAATTTTTACAATAATATATTCTAACAATTTGATCAGTTATAACAATTGTTTTCTCTGCAGTGCACTGAGGATGCCAGGAATAAATGAACCAGGAAAAAACATATTACTTACGGAGAATCGCATCGTCTTATTTAAACGATTACGAAACGAAGAAAGAAGGCGGTTCTAAATTTGTATCGGTTCAGTTTGCATCCTCGTTCGCGAGGTGAACGCTCTGGCCAGCGACATCTCATTGAAGAGCCTTCTTCGGCAACGAGAACCGGAACAAGGTGCCCGATGAATTTTCTACAAGCTCCTCGTGCACGTTGCCAATGATTCAGCGTTCTTGATCAGTTTTCACGAGAGTGAGAGAGAAAGACGCAGTGCACGTGCTATGTTTTACATTCTGCTTTTTTTTATCCGAGAACTTTCGAAGTTGGACTTCTAACTAAGGCCATAGTTACAGTTCCTGATAAACTGACATTGTGACGAATACGGTATAAGCAAATAAAGATTGGTTATCTTTTACATGATGTATACGTTAGAATATCTGTAACTATAGTTCGATGCTTGTGACGCACCGTATGTGTCATATACACTTTGTATTAGTAGTAGGAAATTACCATTAGACCCTAGGTTGTTCCCTCGAAATTGAAAAATTTGCTTGCTCTGCACAGGTATGCCATTGTGAAAAATTTCGTTAAATAGAACAATTTAGATTGCTGGTATATTTCTTGGAAAGCAATTAGCTTTACAAAATCCAGTCGCGTATTCGATGGTTGTATAGGCGCGAACCAGACATAATAAGGCATTTGTATGTCCATCGTGATTTTGATAGCAAAGGTCCCGTCCTCTCTAGGTACATTTTTAAATCAAGGATCCAGAATGTCGAGAAGGTCGACTAACTCTGAACGTGTATTTTTTTTATGTAGATTGCCTAATTAATTTTACATATATTTCAATATATCCTGTTTTACATAAGATGTATATTTTATTTATGAATTTATGTACTTTATAATTTGCTGTAAATTCGTTTTTAATGATATTATGTATTCACAGGTACTGGAGAGCATATACATTTAAATTAAACGATCACTTTTCGCTGGAAATACGATTGAGAACATTGGCTCATAAAGAGAGAAAGAGGGAAAGAAATAGTCGAATCTAGCCGATAGTGCTACCGTAAATCCGCGTCAAGATCATGGCTGACGTCATCCTCTGACGCACCATCATCTGACCTCATAGTCTGCATTGTCTGACGAACAGTTAGTATTATGTTTTCCATCAGCTGCGATCATTCGATTATCGTCTACATTTCGTGCTCTAAAGGTCTTAAATCACTCATCATAATATTTAAATTAATACAATTGTACACAAACAACAAAAGGTACTGAAAGTTAGATTTTTTTATGCAGGTGTTTTACATTTCACGATGTTTCGATACCTTCGAATTGATTCATTGTTGAATTAAACATTGTTGACAATGAATTTGCACGTATGCTTTATGAGCTGCAGCGGATGAAAAAATAGCGACACAACTTGTTTCTTTGTGGTTACTTTTTTTTAAATTGAAATAGATATCTTATTGCGTTATATTTGTTGCATAGAACATTTCTGTATTAAAATAATATTTCAATTCTCAATTACAACTGTCTCAAACTTGTTATACTAATATTTGCTATATGTACATTATACATTTATTTATTTTTCTATTTATAGATGCAAAAATGCGATACATATTAGACAAATAAATTTGAGGCATTGAAAAAATGTATTAAAGATAATACTTTATTAAATATGAGAGATTATATTATTTAATGCAGCTATATTTGAAATAGTACAGAATTACTGAAATCTGTCATTTGAATATTTTATAGTAACGCTTCGAGACGTGCTGCCATCTACAATGCTTGACATTTCCGATAAAGTAGAGTTCTGCATGTTACAATGAATGATGGACCGGCGCAACATGAAAATAAACAGAACATCTTGTGTTTACAAACTCTGTAACAGGTGTTTTTGTCCTTCTGAGAGGGAGTACATTTTAATTACACATCATTGACTTATATTTCAAACGTTTTCCATTGCTGATGCATTAAACTCAACTTGTCAGATGTCAAGGACAAAATAGAGAACATTTGAAAAAGCTGACTTTTTTAATGTATGAAACATTCTCAATAGAAAGTAATGAGGTATACTTCTGAAATAAAATTTCCAGTCACAGTATTCAACAAGAGGTTATTTTTTACGAACCAGATTGACAAAGTTAAAATTTTATTCATTGCAGTTGATTCGTGGAAGCATAGATTTTGTATAGATAACAAAATTGTGAGGGTGTAAAATTACAAGTATTCAGGAACATCGAAGAAAAAGGGGACAGGTGTACTTCGAACAGACGTAACACGAAGATAATATTCAACCGTAAGAAGGAGCAGCCTTTGCGGGTATAAAAGTGTGAGTGATCACGTCCTGCACTTTCCTAAGCACCTGCAGACCCAAAACGGATCCGGCAGGTGCAAGAAGGACACGAGGAACATCGAACAATTTTATGTTAACTTCAATGAATTACAGGTACAGTACAGACAATCAAATTATCGAAACATTTTTTTGCATAAATTATTACAATCATTCACAGATTTAACCTTCATAAAAATATACAATATACAATATATAAAAATATATTGTTAATAATAATACAAGAGTTTACTGACTTGAGGAAAATTAGTATATTATTTTCAAGTTTAAAATATTATTAGGTTATTGTCAGTTAAGTAAATGAAATAAATATTATTTATTTATTTTATTTTTCAAGAAAATGTTAAAGTTTGATGTGTAACAGCATTCGTTATTTAAAGCTAGTCTCTGCAGTATATGGTGCAATAGTATTTTTCTGTTGTTTCTGAGGTAACTTTTGCGTTAACCTTTATCGCCGGAGGAAAAAGAACTCGTTAGCTTGGCGCGGCCTAGCTGGCCTGTTTCCAGAACAAACCGCCAGAGGTCTGGCGTTACGTGCGAACCGAGGCCGTGCCGATGAATTTGGTGACGTAAGAGAATAAAACCATCATAAAGGCTTGCTGGTTCATTAGCGCAAACCGCGGAGCATGGCATCCTTATAGAGAGAGCGAGGTTATAATCCATAGTCTGATCCGAGTGTATCCACAGTACGTACCTTTAAAACGTGCGCTCCGTTGGCACGGAACTGCAATACTGAACGCGAACACGCGAAACGATGAACGTTTACGATCAAGGAAAGTTGTCAGACGTATTTCACAAACGCTTTTTTCTATTATTTTAACTCAAGTCGTTACATTAAAGATGTAAAAACAGATATAAACATATATCTACGTAATTACCATTTAATACGGTTCATAATATGATTTTGTGCGTAAAATGATTCGTTCCGATTTGTTGCGCATGCGCAGTACGATTTTTCTTTGTTACAACTTCGGTACACGGAATTTCGATAAATCAATAATATCGAACAACTATCGATATGATTACTTGATCGAAGAAGTTTAACTGAAACGTTCTGCAACAAATATTTTTCCTGAACGATCGGTATTTTTGTTTCTCTTCAGCGAGTAACGTATATTTTTCTGAGTCACGCTTACTCGCGGTTTTTCCTTTCCTTTTTTTCAAATATTTGATGTGCACGTGTTTGAGTTTATTATAGGCGTAACTTATTTTACAGTCGTATATCTTGTTGAATTATCGACGAGAAACGTAGATTCTGGTCGGTTTCCATGCTGCAGCGAAACGCAGCAATAAGGAGAGATAATATAGTTGACTTCTGCTTGGAGAGGTCGGGTAGATAAGAGAAGAGCGAACCCGCAAAATTGACTTTCGTAATTACCGACCGAGACTACAGCAGTAGTATTCAAGGTAGTATTCGCTCGATGTACGAGATTCGTAGATCAGTCGGATACGATAAAGTTTGTAATTTGTATGCAGGGAGAAATGACCGGATTCATTTGATCAAGGATTTACCGATAATCGTATGAATCTTACACGTAAAGCTATTAGTAAGCAAAATTACAATTACGGTTACACCTTTCTTTGTCCGAAATATAACCTATTTTTAACTTTATCGATCGGTATATTGACATAAGATCTTACCGAATTTTTAGTGTGTGCAAAAGTAGCAGCTGTATTGTCACAGAGTGTGTGGATGGCGAGTGTGAATCTGTAGTGGTTGGCATCCAGCGTTGCGTAAAATGACGTCAATTGGTGCGTAACAATTATCTGAGAAGACCGGAAGACCATAACCGACATCTTTAAGTTTCGCGTATTTGACACTGTCTTAGGGTGAGTTTAACAAACTTCTAGTTTCTTTCGATGGAACAGTCTTGAATCTGACACATATTAAATTATCAATAAGATAACAGGTGTCCTGAACGGACATTTTTACATTTGTGGGGTTAACTTTTATTTTGAACGGTAGTCGTATCACAAAAAAAAAAAAAATGTTACGACCGACTGTGCCATCGAAAGAGGTTCAGTGTCAAACGTCAGCGATTTGTTTTCACGATACAACGAACGTCGTTACGTTGCACAACGCCGATTTATCGCTGACGAACGTGTTATTGGCGGTTCGTGATTAGCGTGAACGCAATATCTTCGGAACGGTCGGATGTTGGCGAGAACCGATTTTAAAAATCAATTCATCTCCACGCGGGAAACGTTTTTCTGCTGTTCGACTCTTTTAATTTTGTGAGTATTGAAAGTAATAAATATAACAGTAAATAATCATGTTACGTGCGGCAGTATATTTTGCCAAGATAACGAGGCTAATATGAGTAAGGTTTGAATTATCGATAATTTGATATATCTTCATCGTTAAGATATTGATAATTTATCGATTATCAATAACAGCAGCGGTACGGTGTACTCTATACTATAATCTATTATACTCTGATGGCCAATATGATTCTATTCGAGATCTCGTTTGCAGAGAAATCAGAATCCGGAATTCGAGACACGCAACTCGATCTTCAGCACGTATCGATTTCAGTGGCCCGATCGAACGTTGGTTCTTGCGATCTTGTTAGACAAGTCCTTCAATTGGTGACCTAGACATTTTCCACATTCCAGCTGGATTATCATTTTTGCACAGCGGCTATTGATTATGCGTATATTGAAAATTAAGTTTCATCCATCGTCAGAAACTGTATCCTTGAATTACATAGAACGTATTCTTCATTTAATGCAGAATATACGTAGCGCCACAGTGGGAGTGTTTTCTTGTTGAAAGACAGAAAATGTCGAGGTCTTGATACCGCTATCGTGGCGCACACTGTTTACCATGAATTACGCTCGTATTTCTCGAGTGTTCGTAACCTTTATTTTGAAAAACTTTCATGGAACAAGTAGCCGCGATGCACGCCAGACGTTCTGTATTCAATTAATTTAAATGAAATTGATATAATAAGGGATGTACGTCACGATCATTAACATAGCTAAGTAGGTGTGAGGTTATTAATTAACTTTAATTAGATGCATCAGCTTCTGTAATCAAATAATTATTGTTACAATTATTATCACATTCAATTATAATTATTAACTACTCTTTCACCGTATCTTCAACAGGTTTTCACTGTTATGCTGCAGGAAACCAGAGCGTTTTAATCTTCATCAAAACTCCTACGACTTTGCATAAAATTCATCAGCGGTCCAAAGTGTACTGAAAATCTGATAAAAGAGCGAGGCAAGAACCTGCATATCTCATAAATCAAGCGCTCCAGTAAATCCTTCCGCACCGACTGCAGCAATCAAAACAATAAACACGGTTGCAAGTCCGTATGACGCGTATCGTTCATTTGTTTACAAACCCGATAAGGCTTTGTCCTGGGTCAAGGTTGTTCCGTTTGATAATCCAGTTCAGATAACGGTAACGTAATTCCTGGACCTTGAGTACGTCGGCAAGAGAGAACGTCGTGCAACGAGGATGACTCATTTTGGAGGAGTAATTTGTCAAATCATCTGTATCCCCTCTTTCTTTCTCCGTTCGCGATCGGTCGTCCCGTAATTCCCTCTCCTCGCGAAAAAGGCACACACGTGTTTATCGTGAATAGTGGTACGTTTAACGTGAGCACGTGACATTTCAAGAGTATCTCGAATTAAACTGTAAACATCGTAGTAGGAAAAACGGCGTTGAAGAGAGCCACGCGGACGGTACGGTGTCAATGATCCTACTATTTATTGGATCGTTGCTTACACGAGACACTCTGTCCCGCGCTTGTCTGTGCACCTCTCTCTCTCTCTCTCTCTCTCTCTGCCTTCCTATCCTCGTCTAGCTTTTTGTCAGACCACGATCACCACGTGGGTTTATGTATTTCGTTTCTGTCCGTCTTTATCTGTTGCGAACATCCTTCTCTACTCGATTTTCGCTATCTTTCATTCAGGCGGACGTCACTGGCGAATGACACAGAACCACGAGGGATCTTCTTCAGTATATATAGAATTGTTTCGAACCGAGCGATCAGCTGATTTAACGCCTCGAACGACGGAACTGGGTCACTCGTAATTTATACCTGCGAAACCGTATACTGCAGTGTTTGAGGGTTAGTCGTAAAGGAAAGTCATGCGGTTTTTTCTATTTTCTTCCTTTCAACAACTTGCGATGTTTTATGGAGATTGTTATCAAACTTTATATCTTCCAAAATGGGTTATCGCTTTAATCAGTCGCTTTTTATTGACAATCTCGATGAAACGTTCATGTAGTCACTTTTGTCAAATTTGAAGCTTCAAATTGATGTACGATGTCCGCCCTTTTGTGATACTTTTATGTCATCAAATGGTACCAGACTAAATTCTAAAATCATTGCTTAAACTAGCAACCGACTTGTATTAAGAATATCTAGGATTAGGTGATCATTTTTGTGAAAATTGAAGCTTTAGATTGATATACCTTGAGCGCCATTTTGTGATACTTTTATGTCATCAAATGGTACCAGACTAAGTTTCAAAATCATTACTTAAACTAGCAACCGACTTGTATTAAGAGTATCTAGGTTTAGGTGATCATTTTTATGAAACTTGAAGCTTTAGATTGATATATCTTGAGCGCCATTTTGTGATACTTCTATGTCATCAAATGGTACCAGACTAAGTTCCAAAATCATTGCTTAAACTAACAACCGACTTGTATTAAGAATATCTACAATTAGGTGATCATTTTTATGAAACTTGAAGCTTCAGGTTGATACCATAAGTACCATTTTGTGATACTTTTATCATCAAATGATTCTATGCTTCAAAGTAACGAAAGCTCTGAAATCTACACGTCTTCTCAGAGTTTTGATAGTACATTCGTTAAAGGTGTAATGATTAAATTGGTTATTATCGTGGTCCAGCATGTATCTAGCATAGGTCGTAGGGATATAGGTAAACGCCGTTCGCGTCCAAGCGAAGCACGTGCGTGTGCCTTTTGCGTTCGCGTGTTCGCAGTTTGTGTCGTCGTGGCGAGGGTGTTGGTGGTGGTGAAAAGGGGGATAAAGGGTGACGGGTAGGGAGCAAGCACGTGTGAGGACGATTTACTCGCAGATCGGTGGAACGTCTTCCTCGTTCCCTCCCTCGCCCTCTTTCTGCACGGAATATCCGTCTTTCTTTCTCTTTCCACCCCTTCTACCTATCTTGCATACTTCTCTTTCTCGTTCTCCTTCTCCTCCTCCTCCTCCCCCTCCTCCTGTTTCTCCTACCATCGACATTATACTACTACTACGGGGTACTCCACTTTCATTCAGTCGCTTCTAAAAATAAAGTCCCTGATTCACAATGCATGAATGACAATCACACGGAAAGGAATACCACACAGACTTGTTCCCTTTCTCTCTCTTCCGTGTCTTCTGTCTTTCTCCCGTTCGCTATCTCCCTTTGATGCTCACGAATGTCCGAGAGTCTCTTTTCTCTACTATCACTCTCGTCTCTCTCCTGTTTCTTTTTTTAACCTCGCACGATCTCTCTCTCTAATGTCATCCCCCTTTCCCTTCCGCCCTGGTCCCGTACTCTCTTGTAAGAGAGTGAAATCTCAGTTCGCCTGTTGCATCGAACTATTGGTCCCGTGTAAATAGATCCCGCGGAAATTCCAAGTGCCATTGCCAGCCTGGCCCGTGATCGATTCGTACGCGCCCGATCGATCAGCGGATACTTGTTGCTTCGCGTATCGGATTTTACGAATATCACAGTGCAATGTTTCCAGTGCAAAATGCGTGCGATGAAACGATCCTTTGTGTACCGTGCTTTTGTGTTAATATTTCATATCAAATTTGCAGAGGATATGGCGATGGAAACATATGAGCTGTAGAAACAAAGATGGACGGACTGTTCGTCACTGTCGATTTAACACTTAATTATTACAACTAATAATTGCTGTGGTAGAATAAGTAGCAATTTCGTTGCAGTCTCGTTATATTGCCATCGATAAGCGGAAACATTGCGGCTCACATGTGGTCGTGCAACTGAGTCATACAATGACTATATGTACTTTGAATCAATCCTCTGGTTCTATTATACAATTATTTTGTTATTCTATTTCATTCCTCTACTACTATAATATACTGTAATATATTTTAATATACCGCATCGCTATTTTGCAGATATCAATGGCAGTATAACGCATGGTGATATAACATGTGAAACACTTGTTAAAATCAGGAGTTAGCGAATCGATAGCCGTTCTCAAAATCTGCGTCCGCCTGCAAACGTATCACGTGCTGATAACACGAGATATCACAGTTATCGTATTACGTCAAATAGTTTATTTTAAAACGACTTTCAGCGTTCCTCAAATTAGACATTCAGGTATAACGCTTATCCTTAGTATAACGGCTATAGACTGTACAAAGAGCGTAACGGAAGGATTTTATAGATTAACCTGCGAGGGTTAGTTGTCGGAAGTAGCGACTGTAATTTGGGAATACCCAATTGTCCCGTAACGCTCGGGAGATTCACGGAAATTGGGGCGAGTAACCCTGAATACCCTGTGATGCCGGTCTTGTGAAGCACCCAAGGAGAACTGGTTTCAGAACTCATCATCGTCGCCTTCTATTCACCAAACAACATTCCAAAATAGAAAGCCGATTATCGAGAATTGTGACTAAATGTCGTTCGAAACTACTTAAAAATCTGCAACAATTCGTCACTGTTTAGCCTTTCGCTCCGAGAATTCCTTAAATAATCTGTCGAATTCTCTTTGAACAGTTCATAAATTATTTCTTGATTTTATTAAAAAAAAATATCGTGTAACACGTATGTTAAATTATTTTTTAAACGTGCGTTAACAGGGTGCATCCCTCGTTATTATCTGTGCAACTCTAAAGAGAGACTTTAGAGCGTGAGGGAGAGCTAGGTAGCAAGCAGTACCAGCAGCTCGAACTGCTCACAGCTAAATATATCTCTCTCTAGAGTTACTCAAGGTCACAGCGCTCGGATTGGCCCACGATAAAACGGAGAGCTCTGTGCCCGTCCCTCCGGCTACTGCTTGGCCTTATGCTTCGTCCGCACACGCGTTCTATCGCACCGTGGCCCACATGTCGTATCGCGACGATGTCGTTTACCATGCTGCATCGGAACACGTGTTCCTATAGAACGCGGCAATAGTTCGCGTGCAACGCATATTTGAAATCTGCGATATCCCTTTCTATCTCCCTTCGCTTCACATTCGAATCGATAGGTATTTTCTCTAAAAAGTTACTGGGAAGAATCTATTTATTACAAATTCAGTTTAATTTTATACCAAGGTTACACTAAAAAAATAGTTTTAATGTTTATAGGTTTCGATGGAGTTTTGAAAGTGGTAATAAAAGGAGTAACAGCAATAATGTAGCTATACAACGCATAAACGATGTATGACGATATAAAGTAATATGCAAAGCAGGTATGCAATGTAATGATGCAAAGATTAATACTTTTGAAATACTCAGAATATTTTTGAAAATGCTTTTTACTGTAAAAGTGAATATTTGTAGGAAATGTGGAATAAGGCAATAATTCGAAGGTAAAATGTGAAAAAGGAAAGAACGAAGCGGGATAGCACGGTACGTGACGTTATTATTATTCCACGAACTACGCACCGACTTCCGGGTAAAGAGTAGACACGAAAGAGAGTGTGACCTGTTGCTGAGGACAAATAATTAGCGGGTTGTACAGGCGGCTCTTTGGAAACAAGCAACCCAGAAATGCATAGAATCCGAAGGGCGTATATACCGTGATGCATGCAGTACCGTGTATCCGGGATCTTGCAGACAATGGCGCGTCAACCTCGTCATAAAACGAGACTACGTTTCCATTCCCTTCAATTCCATTTATTAATTTCGAAAAGCTTATCAAAGAACGACGAGTTCACGATCGTTGGAAACTCGTTTGAATGGAAAAAAAATGTGTTGAAAGATAGTTTTGAAGCTTTTGAAAAGCACTCGTTGAATTTAAAGAGGGCCGCTATATGGGTTCGACGTTGCTGATAACAGCCGCGCTCGTTCCACCGCTGAATTTGAGGTTAGGTGATTGTCCGGGTGTGCGGTAAGCATCGATAACGGCACGTTGCAACCTCGCGTTCTGGCAACACACGATCTGGCAACCCTGCAGCGGTCGACAGTGCCGGGGTTGAATTTCAAGCGCCCGAGGGACAGAGGGGGTCGGGCCTCTCTCTTTTGTATAAGGGGCACGAGGGCTTCACCGATGCTCGGCACATAACGGTGAGTCGACGGCCATGATGCGGGGCTTATGGCTGGCTGCCTGGTTTTGCTTGCCTGCTAAAATGCTTTCAGAAGAAAACCGGCCTTTCTCTTCGGTCCGTTCCCCACCGTAACATTACCCACCACTTACTACAGACCTACGGGGTTGCGTCTCGGTAATCGCTCGTTTCTCACCACCGAATATTCCCCCGCGTATTAATTACACTCCCCGTGGACATTTAACATTTCTCCGATCTAATATCTTTAAATTGTCTTCGAAATTGTAAAACGTTCCGAAAAACCCCGAAAGCCCCCGGCCGTTTACCTGCGCGCCATTGTAAAACTTTATATTACCGTCCCTTCGAAAAACTTTGCTATAATCCCTATACAATAAACTATAAATTATAGAAAGTTGAAAGGTCTTTTGAAAGCCGGTTTTGTTTCGTGGAATAAGGGATGCGCGTATTCGTAAACACAATGACGGAATTATCAAGCGCGACCGTTCTAATCTTTCGTGAACAACCCGATAAAATATTTCGATTTCGCGATAGTTCTCCAAAATATTTTCAGCCTCGACCGTGTACCGAAAGTTTCGTAAAGATTCCCGGTAAGTTTCTTCATTTTCGCTCAGCAGAAGCAACGACAATGGAAAGTTACCGAAGCGCAAGCGCTCGCTCGGCACTTTCCACGAGTACAGCCGACAGGCTAGTAGCTATATAAAGTGCATCGGTGGTAGTGTCGCTGACATTGGTAGTGAGGCGTTCGCTCGCTATGGTACTCATGGGTTGGTCGGCGAAGCGAGATCTCACGACGATATACTACAGCGTGCACGAACACCAGTATCGTTAACCAACACCAGCTCGCGAATGATTATACGCCAGCACTGCCATGCCGGTGTGTTAGCATGTGGTTCGACGTATAGACTTATGCTAGTCTCACACATGCGTACACAACGGCTCCTCGTGCGAGCGTATGTGGCAAAAGTTTCAAAGAAAACGCTCATAAGTTTCCTCGTGCTTGCAATTTTGCACGAGTGTCACGGCCAGTAGCGAGAAACCAACGGAATGCAAAACTAACGAGAGACAAAGACTCCCGCAAAATTTTACAAATTTTATTAATTACATTTTTGTAACTTGGAGTCACGTGCTTTCTTACTATCCTATGCCACTTTAATACTGTTTCAGAGATTCAACCGTACAGCTATTGTATTATTTTTATATATGCTAACCTAACCTTTATATATATAACCTGACCTAACAATCATATTCTACTTTTGTATTCATATGAATATTATTATTTTACATTGTGTTTATACAGCTACTGTATTCATTTTTATTTCTACTATTTTGTTATTGTATTTAAAAATTGTTTTTGGTAGGCAAGCTGAACTTGTAAAAATAATAACGCTAAAGCTCGCAAGCGCGGAAGTACAGCGCACGTCGCGTTGACAAAATTGTGAAATCGCTCGTTTCGCAACGGCATCCGTCTCGTGATCTTCCACCACTCGTAGCAAGATAAAAAAAAGGAAAAAAGCGAACACGTTTCTGCCCCTCCGCTTTACCAACCGCCCAATCGTCATCCTTTTCGAGCCACGCAAACTTTTTCAAAATGTTCGCGTCACAAGGGTTGCGAGCTCCGCATATGCTCTTTTGTGCGTATTCGAACCACTTCTGGCGCACACACCGCTAGAGCGTGACGCGTCGCGCACACAGGCAAGCGACTCGGTGTCTACCCACACGATCCAACCTCGCTGTTGCACACGTACGGGCACCTACACGAGGATTGTGAGCTATGTGTGCGTGTATGTGTGTGCACAGACCACGCGGTGTGTGTCAGCCGTGGTACGGCACCACTGGCGCGCCTCTACCCCGGCTTCAGCATCGATTTCCAGTCGGACGACCCAGCGCGATCGAGCGAACGGTACGCGCCTTCACGAGGAGGTATCGAGCGTGTCCGCTGCTCGTGGGAGTCGCGCGAAGAGGGGTCGAAATAATACGGTCCGTCGTCGTCGAAAACGAGCAACGTTCCAGACATCGAGTATACGCCGATAAACCTAATCTACCGCCTTCGTTGCTTCGTTTTACGTATTAGGAAAGATAGATCAGGGGCAAAGAAGATAAAGAGAGAGAGAGAGAGAAAGAGAGAGAGCGAACGAATATCCCCGCCAAGAGAGGGGAGATAGTAGGGGTCGACGGATCGGTGGTAGTGCGGGGTCCCGAGTGGGGCACAGGGAGGGAAAGGGGACGGGCAGAAGGCAGCGAACGCGCTGCCCTCAGTCGGTCGCCCGTTTTACTACAGTCAGCATTACGGAGAGAGCGAGCGATTGGCTGTACATATACACGGTGTCTTCGCCTAAGCGCGCACTAACTCTCCGTGTTCCCGTTTTCTCGAGCGAAGGCTCGGCTGCGAAGCCTTCGTTCTACCCGCTCTTTCGCTCGCTCGGTCGCGAGTGCGCGCGCGCACCCGACAGAGACACCAGCGAGGAGTCGTGCAGAGAGACAGGCGCGCGTACACAGCCATCGAACGTGGTGATTCGTACGGAGACGGACGTGTAAACCGGGAGAAAAAGCATCGCCTCGACGTTCCCGTTTCTTTCGTCGTCGATGAGATCGTCAACGGGCATTCGTCAACGCTCGAGCGTAACGTTTTCCTGGCTCGACACGAAGCCACAGTCCCACGGGAGCAGTTACATGGAAACACGAGGCACGACGAGTCCTGGCGAACAGCAGGATCGACCACGATCGTGAGTAAATAGAGCGACGAAGAAGAAGGGGTACGTACCCTGTCCGCGACGGACGATCCAAGTATACCAGTACGCGAGCACCGTGTGTATTCGTCCGTAGATCGGTGCATACGTGCGTGTACGAGGACTGAAAAGAGGTGGGGGGGGAGACAGAGTCTATACTTGGCGGACATCCGGCGGGGAAACCGCACGCACTCGGTACCGAGAGAGCGAGGGAAAAAGGAGGAAGGATCTCGGCCGACGAGGAAAACGCGGTGCTCTCGAGTTCTCGAACGACTCGACGGATTCGAGAGGAGAAAGGAGGTTCTCACGTTCTCCTTCGAAAAATCGAATCGAATCGAATCGCGATCGCTTCGATCCTCGCGCGTGTGGTAGCCGCACACGCAACCGTCGAAATTTTCGGTACAAATAATAATAAGGGTGGTGGAAAGCGACGGAAGGACGTGACGATAGAGGGAGAGCGCGAGAGAGAGAGAAGGAGAAGGCAGAAACACGCCGAGCAGTGCTGCTCCCTATTGGCGACGTCGAGTCGCGCTCCCCACCCGGGACAGTCGAACGAGGTCCGAAGGCGAGTTCTCGGCGTGTAACTACGGTGATTTTCCCTTACAAGAGTGTACGCACGAGACCTCGTAGCTCCGCGAGTCGTTCCGCGTAAACGCATCACCTTTGAATCCGTCGCTCGAGTACACGCGGTCGTACAATCTAGTAAAACATCTTGGAAGAATATCGAAAAACAGCCAGAGAAGGAGAACAGACAGAGAGAGAAAGAGGAGGCCGCTTTACCACGCGTGCTATCGTCGATATTCTGGTGCCGTGGTCCCGCGAGCAGCCGTGTGTGCGCCGATCGTGGAACACGTCCCACGCGTGTGTCGCGTATCACCGCCGCCGGTGAAACCGAGAGAATTCGAACGAGTCAGAGGGTAAAATAGGATTTCTCGCGTGGTCGGTCCTCTCCCGAAGCACGCGCGGAGAGGGGTGCACGGAGGCACGAGAGAGGGAGAAGGAAAGAAAGCGAGAGAGACACTGTTCGAGAAGAGGAGAAGAGGGAGAGAGAGATAGAGACTCTTGAGGGGGAGAGACGAGGACGTGTATTAGTGCACGGAGGCGCGCGTGCTGCGCCCCAACGGCCGTTTCACGAAACTCAGTTATCACAATGGCTTCCGTGAAAGACACAGCGACTTTCTTCGCGGAGGGCACAGCGAGTCAGTTCGAACACGTACTGAAGCTTTATCCGCAGGCTCTTCGACTGAAGGCCGATCGCAAGACGAAGAAACCCGAGGAGCTGATCAAGTTGGACAACTGGTAAGTCGCGGAAAATTTGTTCGTCCTTGTTATTTCGTTCGAGGTATTAACGCCCGACACAGGCACACGGGGCCCTCATTTTCAACGAGGGGCTTCCACCACGGGCACACACGGGACAATGAACCCGTGGCGCGCCAGTTGCCATCGCATACCGCGTGTTGTGTGTGTATATACACCCGTATTGGCCCCCTCCTCCCTCTCGCGATACCAGTTACCCATTCTAGATAGTATATTTACTCTCTCCTATTGCCGTGATCGACGACGATCTGTCGAGAGCGGTCACTTCGAATCATCCGTTCGTCGCACGCTGCTTTTTCCATCAGGATAAAAATCAAAAACGCCAATTCCATCATAATAATTCACACCTTTTACCATTTGCAAATTCGTAAGTTTCTGAATTTCAAAATTTCGATTTGGAGTTCTTCATATTTCTGACAAACGATTTAACCCTCGGTGCTTGAACATGGATACTTTAACAGACTTTTCGAACAAAGATTAATCGTTTTTCAGTCGGTGCTCAAACTTTAATCTGCCGGTCTTTTCACAATGTCCCATTCAGAACTTGTAATTTTTCTTGTCCTTTTGATCAATCGAGACGAACGAGTTTAATTCACAAAGCGAATCTTCGCAATTTAAAACCAACGTAAATACCCTTTGTACCTTTTCTGCTTCTTTTGAAGTTTCTAGGTTATCCTATATTTTTACAAATTTGTAGTTTAAAATGTTTGAAAATATTCATGTTTTTTTTTTTAATTTTTGAGGCATTTACAGTGAGAGTCAATTTCGTGTTTTTGGTCAAAATCGTTTCTCCAAAATTAAATTCAGGAGATAGGCTAGAGATAGGAATTTTGTGCCAGCTCATCGAGGAAGTCCCGACGTTGCCATTACGATCGCGCAACCACCGTAGCTACCATTCCGTCGTATCGACAAGCCCGAATATTATTGCAAAAAGGATTCCACAATATTTTAATGAAAC